CTGTTGGCCAGGAGCAGACTTGCAGAATGTGCCCTTTGGAGATGTAATTTATTATATATGCCTGAGTGGGTTTTTTTGTTTGTGTGTTTTTTAAAAAAATCTAAAGTGGATAAAGAGAAATACTTTTAACTGATGGTATATGAGGGGATTATAATCAATGTAATGAAACAAGTTATATGAAGTGTTGAATGTGAAACTGATGATGTGCCCTGTAAACTTTCACTCAATCCACAATAAAACCTTAAATTAAAAAAAAAGAAAGAAATAGAAAAGTCATGTAGATTTAGTAAACATTAAAAACAATGAAGAAATTGACAAGAAAATGCACAAACAAAATGAACTAACAGAAAACTATTTGGACTAAAGAACCCAGTAGCACAAGAAAAAAGCATAGCCAAATGACTGCAATCACAATTCATATTGTTGTTTTTTAAGTGCCTTTGAGTCTATTCGGACTCATGGTGGCTGTGTGCCGTGGAGTCGGTTCTGACTCATAGTGACCCTGTACAGGGTTTCTAATGCTGTAAATCTTTACGGGAGCAGAATGCCTCATCTTTCTCCTGCGGAACAGCAGGTAGTTTTGAACTGCTGACCTTGCGGTTCATGCCCCGATTCATAACCACTACGCTACCAGAGCTCCTTATTTTGACTCATAGCAGCCCCTATAGATAAGGTTTATGAGAAGCTGCTGTGATTTTGAACTGCCGACCTTGTGGTTCACAGTCCAGGGCTGCTGATCCTACAGTGCCACAACAGGAGTCCAGGTTTTTAAAGAGCTCTGATAAATCAACAGAATCCTTAAATTCACACTTATCCATAAACATACTTATACATAATTATACATCAATAGATTAAATACATCGTTAAAAAAAAAAAAGAGTAGTAGAATGGATAAGAAAACAGGATCCTTCAATATTCTGTCTACAAGAGACACACCTTACACACAAAGACAAAAATAGAAATCAAAGGATGGCAAAATATATCAAAGTAATAGCAATAAAAAATAAGCAGGAGTAGCAATATGAATTTCTGGTAAAATAGACTTTAAGACAAAAACCAGAATAAGAGACAAAGAATTATTTTATGTTTAAAGGGATAACTGAATAAGAGGACATAACCATAATAAATGTCTATGCTCCCAATGAAAAAGTCACAAAATACTAAATCAAACTTTAATAGAATTGAAGACAGAAATTGACAACTCTACAATAATAGCAGATGATTTTAATACAACATTTTAGATGAAGGGCAGAACAAAAGAAACTCAACAAAGACACAGAAGAACTAAACAACACATATTCCAACTTGACCTCAGAGCCTTATACACAGGACTCCATCCAATGACAGCACAATATACCTTCTTTCCCAGTACACATAGAACATTCTCCAGAATAGACCTTAAGTTAGGCTACAAAGCAAGCCTGAATAAATATAACTTTGAAATGCTATAAAGCATCTTTCTAGATCTCAATACTATAAAAATCATCGAGGTTGTGAGGTGTCATGGAGTCAGTTCTGACTCATAGCAACCCTATGCATAACAGAACGAAACAGTGCCCAATCCTATGCCATCCTCACAATTGTTGTTATACATTGCTACTGCCACTGTGCCAATCAATTGTATTGAAGGACTTCCTCTTTATTGGTAACCCTCCACTTTACCACCCGTGATGTCCTTCGCCAGGGGCTGGTTCATCCTACAAACATGTACGAAGTATGAGAGACAAAATCTCACCATCCTGGCTTCTAAGGAGTATTCTGGCTGCACGTCTTCGAACATATCACTGGCTTCGGTGGTTGGTGAGTAACCTTGAATAATAGTGGTATTAACTGGTCTTCCTTGTAGGTGTACGGATACTATCCTATCACAGACAGCATTGTTCTTCAAGACAAATCTTGATGTTATTTTTGATGATGAACACAACACCATTCTTCTTCAATTTGTCATTGCTGGCATAGTAAACCACATGATTGTAAGATTCAAAATAGCCAATACCAGTCCATTGCAATTCACTAATGCCTAGGATATTAATGTTTATATGTTCCATTTCATTTTTGGCAATTTGCAATTTTTCTCGTTTCATACTTTATACATTCCACGTTCCAATTACTAATGGATGTTTACAGCTGTTTCTCTTCATTTTGAGTCATGCCCATCAGCAAATAAAGGTCCCGAGGGCTTTACTCCATTCACATCATCATGGTCAACTCTACTTTGAGAAGGCAGCTCTTCCCCAGTCGTCTTTTGAGTGCCTTCCAACCTGAGGGGCTCATCTTCTGGCACTGTATCTGAAAATATTCTGGTGCTCTTCATCATGGTTCAATATTCAATATTCTGGTGCTGACAATTCAGCAACTAAATATTCCGAAGTAATCCATCTCTCCTTCTTCCTAGTTTGTTTTCATCTGGATGCTCAGCTCAAACCTGTCCACTGTGGGTGGCCCTGCTGGTATTCAAAATACCTGTGGCATAACTTCCAGAATCATAGCAATTTACAAGTGACCACAGTGCTACAAACTGACAGACGAGTGCATAGTAGGTACACCATATATACTAGTTAAATAGATAAATAACTCTATTTTTCTTGAATTGGGTTAGAGAATATGAGGAGTCAACCGAAACAGTTAAACTGGTTGAATTTGAGGGAATAAAATGGATAGTGAAAGAAGCGTGGTTTTCAGAGATGAGGTACTTAAAATATTCATGGCATAGCTTCTCAGAATCACAGCATTACGACAAACTGACAGATGAGTGGTGGAAACAGATAACTGTTGTTGTTGTTGTTGCTAAGTGTGAAGAATGGGAATTTCACAACACTTCAGTGTGCTCATATGGAACCTGTACATAAACCACAAGAGGCAGTTGTTCAGTTCTTTCCACTTGAGAAATGCTGACTGATTAGAAGAGATTTGTATTTGTGCCCATTCCACTGGACTGCTAACCAAAATGTCAGCAATTCAAACCCACCAGCCGCTCCTCAGAAACCCTATACATACAGGGTTGCGATGAGTTGGAACCAACTTGATGGCACTTAACAATAAAACAACTGTAATAAGCCAGAATTAAATGAAAAGAGCATTTCAATTGCCCAACCAAAATATTTTCCTCATATTGTGGTAGTGGTTACGTACCGTGGAATTGGTTCCAACTTATAGCGACCCTGAATGGGGTTTCTGAGGCTGTAAATCTTTACAGGAGCAGATAGCCTCATCTTTCTCCCATGTAGTGGCTGGTAGACTTGAACTATTAACCTTGTGGTTAATAGTCCAATTCATAACCCACTACGCTACCAGAGCTCCTACCTCATAGTGTAGGGAAGCAGAAAATTATAAGGGAAAATGCAAACCTCTGGCATCAGGTTGTTGTTGTTGTTGTTAAGTGCCTTTGAGTCGGAGCCGACCCATAGCGACCCTGTACAGGGTTTCCGAGGGTATAAATCCTTACGGGAGTAGAAAGCCTCATCTTTCTCCCGCGGAGCGGCTGGTAGTTTCGAACCACTGACCTTAAGGTTCGCAGCCCAATTCGTAACCACTACCTGGCATCAGGTAGACCTAAATTTAAATGAAAGCTCACTGTTCTCTAGCTGCATAACACTGGACAAGTTAGCACTGAACATGAAGAAATGCAAGGTCTAGTGTTTATTTTGAGTCCTGGTGTGGCGTTGTGGGTTAATTTGCTGGACTGCAAAGTTAGTTTGACCCACAAGGGTGGCAGTTCAAGTTCACCAGCTGCTCCACAGAAACCCTCTATGGGGTTGCTATAGGCTGGAACAGACTCAACAGCACTTAACAACAACAACAAAACTCATAGTGTGGAGCTGTAGGATCAGCACAAGACCGGGGACCACAAAGTCAGCAGTTCAAACCCACCAGCTGCTCCTCTGAAACCCCATACAGGGTTGGAACCGACTTGACGGTACTTAACAACAGCAAGCCTCAGTTTACTCATCCTTAAAATGCAGGTGTGCTCTACCTTTATGGAATGGTTGTTAAGTATAAGTAAGACAACAAATGTCTGGCAGATAGCAAATACTCAATAAATAACAGCTTAGCATTTTAAACTTAACAAAAACATTTTAACTAGGGAACAAAGATTCTAGGTTTTAAATGCTATTTTCTAGTATTTGTAGCACTTACCAACTCCATATTTAGTCTTATAATACCACTTTGTAAATTCATCACAGTCGCAAATGAGCACTTTTCTTCCCCACACATTGATGGTGGTTCCTATGGCCAGGTCACTATCTTTGTAAAACTCTTGTTTTATGTGTCCTAGCTAATAAAAACAAAGGAACACAGCATTAGCACCACAGACCCTTCAAGGAACAAAGTACCCCTTCCCAAAGGGAAAAAGACTTTTTTTTTAAAAAACTCCTTCAATTACATCATTTATCATTAAAGCTTTGAAATTAAATCAAAATGCAGGTTAGCCAATGTCAATATTTTTAATTTTTTTTTTGCAATTACAGTATTTGCAAATAGCAATGCAATGCATATACTGATGCATGCATTTAAGCATGTTTATTCAATGATAAAAGTGTAGCGCATATATTTTTTTCATAGATTTCATTTATAATCAATGTCACAAGAAAACAATATGTTGTTCACCCCACAGTTCAGATTCCAAGGAAGTCACAATGGAGAACAGTAATTAAATATGAGTTTCCTCACCTTGAGACTATCCAACAGGTAGCCACTCACTTGTCTCACTGACCAGCCCCCATACACATTGAGAACTGTCTGATCTGTTATCTGGCCTGGTTGATAGACTCCAGTTGGGGCAAACTAGAAGACAAAAATCAAAACATACCTGGTAACCACAAAGATGGGACTGTTGAAGGTCTCAAACAGGATATAAGTGTCGCATGACTTTCTTTGTCAACTGGAGACAGACACACAGTCAATCCACCTCTCCCTGTGCTTCTACACCCCCTGTAGGCCAGTCTATAACCCAGCCATACTTCAAGGCCCTCATAAAGTACCATCTTTCCTCCTAACCCTTCTCATCCGACTGGCCTGTCCCCAACCCAAACCTCGATAGCACCTCTCACAGAGCGAAACCACTCTTTGTGGTTCTCTAATTACTTCATGAGGAAGCCCCAACAGTGTCATGGGTTATGAGCTGGGTTACTAACTGCAAGATCAGCATCTACTGACTTTTCCATGAGAGAAAGACCCTTAAAGATTTACAGCCTAGGAAACCCTCACTATGAGTCAGAACAGACTATCGACAGCATACCACTACCCTTAATTAATTCATTGGTAGTCATGTTTTCTTTTCACTAAGCTACAAAACACCTTGAGGAATGACTCATATCTTGCCTTTTCTTAATTCTGCTTAGTCCCCTGCTTGAACCTAAGTCCAACAAGTATTTGCTGGGCAAGAGGTAGCGTGGTGAGAGGGAATGAGGAGTAGACTGGAGTCAGTCTCCAGTAGAAACACTGAGCTGGAGTGAATCCCTCATGCCTTAGAGGTGATCCAAGCAGTTATGTGAGCTGTAGGAAATATCTTAATTATCTTAAGTTATTGTTGCTAGTGATAAGTGCCGTTGAGTCAGTTCTGACGCATAGTGACCCTGTATGGGGTTTCCAAGGAGCAGCTGGTGGGTTCAAACTGCTGACTTTGTGGTTTGCCGTTCAATGCTTATCTTACAACATCACACCAGCGGCTTCCAGAAACTGGTAGTGATCAGTTTATAAAATCCAGATAAACAATCTGAATCATCCCTGATACATGTGGCATAAAATGTAAATTTAAATGTGTAAATTGTATAGTACATGTGGTGGAAGTATAGTAAACTTGGATGCAAGCTCTCTCTTCACCACTAATAAATACAAGATTTAAGGCCAAGTATTTATCTTCTCAAACAGCTTTGCAAAGCTGTTTGAATTTCAAGGTTGGTGGTTCAAGCTCACCAGCTGCTCCTTGGAAACCCTTTACAGGGTCACCATGGGTCAGAACTGACTCAATGGCACTTCACAACAACAACAATTTATCTTCTCAGAATGTCAGTTTCTTCATCTGTTTAACTGCAACAGTAGTACTTATTCTTATCATTCTCAAAGGATGTTATGGGTATCAAGACAACATTCACTCCTACTGTATCTATCTGCCCTGCTTTAAAAAAAAAAAAAAAATCTAAGTTTCATGAAGCAGGATATAATGCGTTTTCTTCATCACTGTAATCCTAGAACTGTCACACAGCTGGCATTCAATAAATCTTTGTTGAATGCATGAATAAAATGGAAGCAATTCATGTGAAGGTACACTGCAAATATCAGGTGTGTCATTATTATTTTATATTTAGCCTCTTATTCATAGTCAATCTTAAAAAAAGGCTTTCCTAACCAGAATCAGCGAGCTTGAAGACAAATCTCTCAATACTGCTAAGATAGAAGAGCAAGCCGAAAAAAGAATGAAACAATCTGAAGAAAGCATAAGATTCATGTGGGACAATATGAAGAATAACCTACAGGTAACTGGAGTCCCAGAACAGGAAGAATCCAAGAAAACCACAGAGGAGATAGTCAAAGCTGTTGGAAGAAATTTTGCCTAACATCTTGAAAGATGAGAAGTTATGCATTGAAGAAGCTGAACAAACCCCAGGAAGGAGCAATCCCAAAAGAAAATCACCAAGATATATCATAATCAAACTTTCCAAAATCAAAGACAAGGATAGAATCCTGAAAGCAACTAGGTAAAAGAAAATTGTTATCTACAAAGCTCTAATCTCAACAGAAATCATGCAGGCAATAAGGCAATGGAAGACATATACAAAACTCTGAAAGAAAAAAACTGCCAACCAAGAATCATTTACCAAGCAAAGTTGTCAATCAAATATGAAGATGTAATCAGAACATTCTAGGATAAATGAAGTTAAGGGACTTTGTAAAAGCCAAGCCAGCACTTCAAAACATTCTAGAGGGAGTACTTTGGATTGAGAATCAACAAGAGTAGACAGCAATCAGAGATTGACATACATTGCACAACACCCAGAACTCAGCTGAGATATGGAAGAGTCCAGAGCAGAACAAGACTACAAGAATGAAATCAGAGGATCTGGGAGGTCAGTCTATGATCCAAAAAAATATACAATATAAAACGGAAAATATAGGAACAGAGATCCAGGTTATGAAGAGGTCAGGTAGATTTCAGGATAAAACAGACTGTTTTAAAAGGAAGAAAAAGTTAATAGACTATAGGGTAATCTCAAAGAAACTTAATATTTCACAACATATCAAGAAAAGGAAAATGCAAAAACATGGAAAAATTAAAGTTATGAAGAAATTTACAAGAAAAAGCACAAAAAAATGAACTCAGCTCAGGAAGGCATGCAGAACAAAGAAAAACAGCAGCACCAGACAAAAACAACACACACAAAAAAATGACAGCAATAAATTCATACTTATCGATAATTACAATGAATATCAATGGATTAAATGCACCAGTCAAGAGACACAGAATGGCACAATTGATAAGAAAACAGAATCCTTCAATATGTTGTCTACAAGAGGCACACCTCACGCACAAAGACAAAAATATATTAAAAATTAAAAGGATGGTGCTGTGGATTAATGCGCTGGAAGGCTATGTATGTTTGAACCAAAGGCTGGTGGTTCAAGCTCACAAACCACTCGTTGGAAACCCTATACAGGATCACTATGGGTTAGAACCAATTTGACAACACTTAAAAACAACAACAATACTCAACCTTGGAACAACAGGGCTCTGTTATACAGGGATTGAGGCATAGCCTGATTAGGTAAAAGAGGGGAAATAATGTTAAGGGGCTTAATTGTTGTGAATATTGGTTTCCTGTGCTTACTACTGTAAAATAGACATTTAAATAGTATAGAAAGGAATATTGGGAAATATGTTTACAGAAAGTTTGCAAGCCCATCTTCAGCCTATAACTTATAATAAATACTTAAAAGGGATTCCAGAATTTGCCCAGTGAAATGGGTTTCTTGTGTTTAGGCTTTGAAGAGTACGAGGCCCTAGGTGGAATCCTGAGCCCCACCCAGAACTTTCTGAGGTGGGACAATACCACTTGAAAGGACATAAAGAGGAACCCAAAGTGACTAGAGGAACAGAAGATACTTCTAGAAAGAAAGATCAGCAGGAAAAAAAAAAAAAAGTAGACTGACTATTAGTAGACTGACTATTATAAGAACAAGCAAGCTATTCACCTGGGCAAGAAAAGTCAGCCCTTCAGGACAAACCCTTCCAAGACTGAAACTCAAAGGGAACACATGATCAGGCTAGTAAACTCGATGGTGACTGCTTTGGTCTCCTTGTGAGTGGAGGAGGGGGGAAGGCAGCAATGAAGACATTGGGCTGAGTTCGACCACGCTCCATACACTCCTGACGACCATGAGATGAGAAAGAGAAGAGGAAGTGCTGGTTGGTTCCAAGTTTGAGGAGAGTTGGGAACTCCTGAACCCATGGACCCTGACCTAGCCACTGGGGGCTCGAGCTGAGAGTGAAGTGACAAGCTGATCTGAAGCGGGAGGAGGCACGCAAGAATGCCCAAACTTGCAGATAGTATCCATTTGACCTAGCTTGTATGGCTTGTTTATCACAATTCCACTAGAGAAAGGTAAAGAAGTTTGATACAGGAAGCAAGTGTAAATTGCCACAATTTGATGAACTTGGCCTTGGCTTATGGATGTAGTTGCCCAAAATATCAACCTAGAGGGAAGGAGTCTTCACATCAAGGATCAAGCCTATCCCCTCTTACACAGGGTTGATAGACACAGGCAACCTAGACAATGACTACCTAAAATGAGGGGCTATAAAGGCATGAAGTGGTTGGCTTACAAGTTTTCAAAGGTGTGCTTATTTCAGAGGAAGGGGGTAGGGCAGAATCCCCACTGAATAATTTTCATCTTGTCTAGATAGATCTGGTTAAAGGGGATGGGGGAGGATGGGGATGGGATTCTTTTGATTCAATACTGAGTAACTGTTATAATGACTAATTGTGACTGTCACAACTGTAACAAAAAATGGGGAGTAGTTAATCTTTCATTCCAAGAACAAAGGACCCTAGGACTATCAAGAGGTTGGCGCATGAACAGAGTGTAGGAGGATCCTAACCAGAGGAATAGCGACACCAGATATGGAGGCAGCGGTGATGGCATGGAGAGATAGAGCAGCTGGGGAACTCTAGACTCATGGTGTGAGAAAGGCTATGTGTCTGCAGGTAGGAGGCTTGCTTGCAAAATGTGCCCTTTGGTTGTCTAAATGAATATATGTATGTGTGTTTTGTGTACCTCAAAAAACAAAGAAGGAGTAGAGGCATATTGTTAACCAGCGGTGCATGGAGGTGATTGTAATCTTTGCAATGAAACACAATTGATTGAGTGTAAAATCTATGTTCTGCCATGTAAACTATCACTCAATTCACAATAAAAGCTTTTAAAACAAAAAGGCTTCCCTGGCACCTCCTGGCCACCCACTTGTCACCTGCTATGCACTACCTGGAGCCCACTCTTGGACAGATGCTGTCCCCTCCACCCCTCCACCCCCAAGCAACACAGCAGAACCTCTGGAGTAGGGTTCATGGAATCTGGGAGAGCTTCCTGTGAGGATCCAATTGCCAGCAGTTGTTTGCATCAAAATTAGTATGACAATAACCTTTTCAGTAGCACTAAGGATTGTTGTTGTTGTTGTTAAGTGCCGTCGAGTCGGTTCCGACCCATAGCGACCCTGTACAGGGTTTCCGAGGGTGTAAATCTTTACGGGAGTAGAAAGC